CCAGCTGGTGCCCAAGCTCTCTCGGAACTACCTGAAGGAAGGCTACATGGAGAAGACCGGGCCCAAGGTAGGTGCCGAGCAGCAGACTTTTAGGTCTGTTAAAGGTCAACCATCTTGCTTCTGTCTGTCTGGGGGTTGCTTGAGGTCAGGCTGGGTGCTGGGTCACTGGACTCACTGGGCCAGTCCTTTCCCAGGTGCATCCCGTGTATCCTAGGGCTGTGGCCTTGAGCTTCAGGGTGGTCCTTGAGTCCCCTGTCAGTGTTGTGGTGCTGGCATGAGGACAAGTGACTAGGCTGCAGGTTCTAGGGCATGAGTCAGCCTGGGCCTCCTGCCCTCAGGCCCCTCTTCAGGAGGGACTGTCACATCTGTTCTATGACACAGTAGCGTACATTCAAGGTCTGGACCCTAACCTGGACCTCAAGCATGCCGAGGGCCCCTCACGCACTGGCTGGCCAGCACAGTGCCTGTGAGGCCCTGCCTCTGTGTGTTGAGTGGGGGTCAGCTGGGGCAGAGGAACGCCTTGGGGCTGCTGACTGCTTCCCATCCTCCCGACCCACAGCAGACAGAAGGCTTCAGGAAGCGCTGGTTTACCATGGATGACCGGAGGCTCATGTACTTTAAAGACCCCCTGGTAAGGAAGGTCTGGCTCCAGTCCCTGTCCCTCCACCCCCCGCGCTGCCCCACTGACCTGTTTCAGGGGTGACTGGTGAGAGAACGGGTCTGGGATTCCTCAGGGGGTCCTAGATTCTAGGGCCTCACTTAGCTAGGCTTGGAGAGGAAGCAGGGGGGACAGCCTGGGGGAAAGGGGTTCCCCCCATATCCCAGCCTCTTCTCATCCACACACAGGATGCCTTTGCACGAGGGGAAGTCTTCATTGGCAGCAAGGAAAGTGGTTACACGGTGCTGGAGGGGCTCCCGCCATCTACCCAAGGCCACCACTGGCCCCATGGCATCACCATTGTCACCCCGGACCGCAAATTCCTGTTCACCTGTGAGACAGAGGCAGACCAGCGGGAGTGGATCGCGGCCTTCCAAAAAGTGGTGGACAGGCCCATGCTGCCTCAGGAGTACGCAGGTGAGAGGAGTGGGTGCGGGAAAGGAGGGTGTCAGCAGGGTCACGGGTGACAGCCCCTAGTGAAGTGTGGCTCTGTGTCTGCATCCTGAGCCCCAGGTAGGCTGTGGAGGGGAAGCTGTGGGCTATGGAGGGAGGCTGAGTGAGCTGGCAACTCCCAAGCTTGGACCATTCCTGTTTCTAGTGGAAGCCCACTTCAAGCATAAACCCTAAGGAAGAGAGCCCGGAGGCCCCAGGATTCTGCACTCACGTGGCTGGAGAGGCGGCGCCGGAAAAAGTAGGGGAGCCCAGCCTCCTGGCCCACATCCTGCTCCTTAGTGCAGCACAGGCATGGCCAGGTGGGGCTCAGGCAAGCCCGTTGGACAGGCATTTCTTCAGAACCTCATTGAAGGTGAAGGCAGACTTGGCTCTGGGCCTCACCTGACCCGGGGGCCCTGTCACGCTGCTCCTAGCCGCTCCCAGCTGACCCAGCCACCTTCCTGCTGCTGGAAGCCCTGCCTCCCTACTTAAGCAGGCTCCTACTAACTCTCCTGGCCTGAGGGGATCTTGGCCTCAGGGCGGGACTCGGTGCTGGGCTGCTATATGGACAGCTGTGGCAGTGGGCTGGCCTGGCTGCTGGGGACTCTGGGACGTGCCGCATGCCTCCCCTTCCCTCCCCCATCTCAACAAGTATTTATTGAGCACCTGCTGTGTGTCAGTCAGGGATCAAAGGTCAGGGGTCAGCTCTCCTTCTCCTAGGGTTGACCCAGCTAGGGAACTGGGGGTAGTTTTACTGGGGGCAGTTTTTTCCCCAAGAAAACTTAATTGTGTGCAGAGGCCCTGGGCCCAGCTGCTTGTGGCACCCAGTGCCCTCGGGACAGCTGGCTGAGGCAGCCGGGAGGGAGCCTGCAGGGTGCTGTGCATGGAGCCCAGCAGCGGTTTCCTTGGGAGCCAAGGAGGTCCCAACTGCTTTTGGGCGTCAGTGCCCAGTTCGGTGCTGTCCCCGCTTTGTAACCCATGCCCTCTGACCCTGACCTCAGTCTTTGAGCCCTTGATGAATGAAAGCCCAAACCAAGAGGTGGCCATGGGCAGGAGTGGCTGCCCCCAGCCCTGATTGCTGCTGGCAGGCCAGTAGTTAAAGCCACCTGTATTTATTTACCCTGCTGCCCTCTGGACACCCCATCAACTGGGCTCCCTTCTATGGGACCCCCCAAAGGGCAGGTCCTGGCCGCTGGACAGCTGGGGAGCATTAGTGAGGGATACATCTGTGAGTGACCTGATCCTCGTCAAAGCTGCGCCCCAGGGAGCTGGGGGAGGGGTCTAGTCGGGCTTCTGCTGCCCTGTGTCATGTCCCCTGGAATAAAGTGTGGCTCTGGCGTGGTCCTTTCTGTGTGTTGGTGGCTAAAGCGGGATGAGAGGGCTAGCAATCTCCCTTTGAGTAGTAAGAGATATGAGAAGAACTATGTCACTTCCATGGCAGGCCTGACTCTGCAACCTGTGTCCTCTTAGTCCCAGTCACTATGCCCACTATGCTGTGTGTGTGTGTGTGTGTGTGTGTGTGAGCGTGCGTGCGTGTGTTACAGCCCCAGGAAGGCCCAGCCCCTGCCCTGGACTGTCCAACCCCAGCAGGAACCCGGGGCTCCCCTACTACAGCCTATACACCGAGACCCGTCCTAGGCCACTGCTGCCCACATTTGATAGCCTCTGTGGGCTGTGACAGACCCTGGGTTGAACACTCTTGGCACGTGCCTAGTCACCCAGCTTGCAGGAATGCTGAGCCCAGCAGACATCTTTGGCCAGATCTGGAGTGCTGAGCCCAGGTGTGTACCCAGACGTCAGCTGGGTCCCCTCAGCCCTCTCACTGTTTGCATGTGGCCCTGGACAAGGAACTCGCAGCTCCTGAATATATTAGGTAGGCACTCTGTCATTGATCTACGACTTAATTCCTTCTCCCAAACTGGTCAGGGTCCCCATAGCAACTGGGTTACTGATGACATTCCAGGGTCCCCTCCATTTCCCCCACCAGGACCAACAGGTTCACTAGTGTCACCTTACTGATGGGCCTGTTCTAGAGACTTCTGCGTGTAGACATCAGTGTATACTAGCAACAGCGACCACCTTGACATATGTCTAAGTAACCACAGAATGACATAGCAGGGAAGGTTTTTCACTAGATGGGAAATTGGCAACTCAAGAAAAGTCACTGTGACCTTGGACATCTTTCAGCCAGGATGTAGCCTGTACAAGGGCTAAGACGATGATGACGTCTCACCCGCTGACAGTGACAGGCATGCAAATAGCACAGTAAACTGTTGGCATGAAGTCCCGAGGAATGGACTGCATGTAGAAGGGACACTGTGTGCTGTGGAGGTACTGTGGGGTGTGAGGATCAGTGTGTGTGTGTAAGGGAGCACTGCGGGGTGTGAGGATCAGTGTGTGTGTGTAAGGGGGCACTGCGGGGTGTGAGGATCAGTGTGTGTGTAAGGGGGCACTGCGGGGTGTGAGGATCAGTGTGTGTGTGTAAGGGAGCACTGCGGGGTGTGAGGATCAGTGTGTGTGTGTAAGGGAGCACTGCGGGGTGTGAGGATCAGTGTGTGTGTGTGTGTGTGTAAGGGGGCACTGCAGGGTGTGAGGATCAGTGTGTGTGTGTGTGTGTGTAAGGGGGCACTGCGGGGTGTGAGGATCAGTGTGTGTGTGTGTGTAAGGGGGCACTGCGGGGTGTGAGGATCAGTGTGTGTGTGTGTGTGTAAGGGGGCACTGCGGGGTGTGAGGATCAGTGTGTGTGTGTAAGGGGGCACTGCGGGGTGTGAGGATCAGTGTGTGTGTGTGTGTAAGGGGGCACTGCGGGGTGTGAGGATCAGTGTGTGTGTGTAAGGGAGCACTGCGGGGTGTGAGGATCAGTGTGTGTGTGTGTAAGGGGGCACTGCGGGGTGTAAGGATCAGTGTGTGTGTGTAAGGGGGCACTGCGGGGTGTGAGGATCAGTGTGTGTGTGTGTGTGTGTGTGTGTAAGGGGGCACTGCGGGGTGTGAGGATCTATGTGTGTGGGTAAGGGACACTGTGTGTGTGGAAGGGATACTGGGTTGTGAGGAGCAGTGTGTGGGTAAGGGACACTGGGTGTGTAAGGAGCAGTGTGTGTGTAAGGGCACAGTGGGGTGTGAGGATCTATGTGTGTGGGTAAGGGACACTGTGTGTGTGGAAGGGATACTGGGTTGTGAGGAGCAGTGTGTGGGTAAGGGACACTGGGTGTGTAAGGAGCAGTGTGTGTGTAAGGGCACAGTGGGGTGTGAGGAGCACTGGGTATGTTAAGAGACACCGTGTGAGGAGGGTTCCATGCATGTCTCATGTTTCTGAACAAATACCAGCTTTCCTCCGTACTTAACTGGGGGTTAACTCCAGGCATCCTCACACAAGTACAAAATTTGAATTCTGTACTGTTCCAAAATACAACAATGACATGAACTCCAGTACATGATTCTGAAGCAAATGTCACAGCTGAGCGGAGGCAGCTCTGGTCTATGCCCAGCCCACTATGGCTTCCTTCCTGGTGCCATGCCTAACTATATCCCCACTTTTGGGGGCCTCCCTATGTCTAAGACTCCCCTGCACCAAGCCCCCCTATGCACCCCTCTTGCTCCCCAAGGCCAAGCCACACACAATGATGAAGGTGATTTCAATAAGACAACTCATTTCTATGTGACAACCTGTGAATGTGGACACCGCTGACACTAGCACTGGCCACTCTGGTGGACACAGCAGCATGGACGCACAGGGAAATGGCACGGACAGCACAGGATGTGCTTCCTCCCGAGCTTGCCAGGCCCAGCCTGGACACACAGCCAATCCCACCCTGCCCGAGGTCTCTGCACCCATAGGTGGGGGCTGAATGCCAAGGATCAAAGCCAGCCCCGTCCCCGGCCCAGAGCTCACCCAGAAAGGACTACTGCAAAGCCCAGTAGAAAGGATTTATTTATAGTCAACAGGTGACACAAGCCTTCCTTTAAATTCCATTTTTTTTACAGTAAATAACGCATATTTCCCTCCTTCCCATGCAAGATAGAGATGTATTAATCTACAACTCTATTTTAATTGTGAAAAAATAAAGTGTCTCCCTTTATAATCAGATTGGTAGCGTGGATATTATCTGTGGTAATGGATGGGGTTGCTCATTCCTGGACTGGTTATTTGGTTAAGTCCTAAAACATCAGGTTGAAAAATTCCTCACCCAGTAAAATACTGCAACATGGAGGACATGAAAGTCTACGGCACCTTTAAAACATCTCCAGAGCAGCGGTGTGGGGCTCATGGGGACCAGCAGAGCTGCGGCTTGAATAGACAAGCCCACAGACTACAGCAGGGGCCAAAGCCCTACAGATCACGGGACATGGCCCTGGCCAGCTGCTTGCGACCTCCAAGGAGTCTGCCCACCACAGCACATGTGCTCTGATGCTGGGAAGCTCACCATGATTGCAAAACGACTCTGTGTCCAAACAAAATTCAAACAAGAAACCCGATCTCATCCTCAGGACTCAGAATCTGCCTGGCTCACAGCAGTGGCCACCATTCCTCCAGTATGCCACGGCTGCACTGGACACAGGAGAAGGGATACCAGTCGCTGACGCCAGGCTGCCTGTCACCCTGCAGCCCTCCCCAAGGAACCAGAGACAAGGATGGCAGCGGGGTGCTGCAGCAAGGCCTGCGCTTTATTGTGGGTGATCTGAAGGAACACGGTTGGCCAGCAGGAGCTGGGCCTTGCTCTTGGTCCTGGCCATACAGCCCTCAGCCACCATACATAAATAGGGACAGACTCTGCACAGGTGGCCCCTCCAGCTGCGGAGCAGGAGCCCACTGGTAAGGGGCCTCGTGCCCAGCCTGGCACTGAATCCATCCCAGTGGTGCCGGCCATGGGCATCTCCATGCTGGCCAGGCAGCTTCAGTCCAGCTCGATGGGGCTGCTGTCATCCTGGCTCTCTTCCCCCTCCTCCTGCTCTGAGGAGCCCATGAGGCTGCTCAGCAAGTTCCCTAGAGGGAGACACCGGCCAGTGATGATTAATGCGGAAGCAGTGCTGTCCTGGAGGCCTGACCTCCCCAGGGAACCCACTACCCAGGTCACCACATTCAAGTAGGTTGCCTAGACAAGACACACCCAGCCACTTGTCAATACCCAGAAACAGTGCTGTTCTGGAAGTCCCACCTTCCCAGAGGAGCTTGATGCCCAGGTCGCCATGCTTTGCAGGAAAACAAAGCCCAGAGGCCCAGCTGGCTACAGCTCTTGGAGGTCACACTAGGAATGTTCCTGATGACTAGGGACGGGGCAAGATAAACCCCAAACCTCCACCAGCAGAGGAGTCTGGAAGCCATGAAGGAACAGCTCAAGTCCCATGACTACCAGAGAATCTGCACAGCCGGCAAACCAGAGCCTCAAGGCCACATCTGAGATACCTTACACCCACCTCCTGTGTGCGCATCTCAAACGCACAGACTCACACTGACCACGTATCTGTAACCCTAAGAGTCCTCTATCCCTGAGAGTGAGAGACCGAGTGGGTGTTCTGCAAGGATATAGATGCTCTTCTGCCTGCATTTCCCTGTGGCCCCTTGGGTACCCTGGTGGTATTTCTGGGGGAAAGGGGACTTGATGGCTCCAAAACTCTTTGGGATAGACAAGTAAATATCCTAACAACCCTGGACTGCTACTCCAAACTGAGATATGTACAAATGTTTCCGGGAATGCCAATCCCTCAGCAATGCTCAGGCCCCTGAGGCTCAGACTGGCGACAGTTGAGCCCTGCTCACACTCCACAGGCAGCAGGCTCAAGAGAGATAAACATCTACAAAAAGCTAGGAGTGTAGGCTTACACCAGGATCTCAGCACTTAGGAGTGAGTTTAAAGCTAATACGAGTTACAGGTAGTGACCTTGTCTCAAACAAGCATCAACAACAGATAGGCAGGGTGACTTGGCTTTAATCCCAGCATCCAGGAGGCTGAGATAAGATCTGAGTTCAAGGCCAGTCGGAACTATATGAGATCCTGTTTCAAAAAACAAACCATCAACAACAAACAATAAACTAGAGAAATACTGTCACAGTCTACACCAAGTCACTAGGACACAGCCTGTGCCCAGAGAGCCCACGTGGACTTGTTTATGGTCACACCCAGCTGTACTTCCTTCCACTCCACAACACAGGGTGTGTCTTCACACCACGTGCACAGAAGATCCACACTCCAGCAGATAATGGCACAGTACAGCTCGTGCCATGCACGATGACTGTAGAGTCACCTGCCAGCAGCAGAAATAGAATTCTGAACGCTGAAGTGAGATTTACTACTTAGAACATGAACACAGAAGGGGAGGAGATGCAGGTCAGTGGTAAAAAACTTGTCTCGTGTGTGCAAGACCTTCCTGAGTCTACATCCAGCACCAGAAAAAGAAAAGTGGACACTTAAAATGCCCAGAGGACCACACTACCCTGACCGGAGTTCAGACCCATCAAGCGGTGCTCAGTGGACAACCTGATGACTTCAACAATAGGTTGGAAAGGGCTGAGGGGAGGGAGCCACCTGTCCAGGACCAGACCACACAGCTCACCTAGCAAGCCTCCATAGGAGGATGTCTGCTTTGGCGGCACACCGAAGAAGAGCTGTCCAATCCTGTCGAGGTACTGCAAGAAGCAGGGCAGTAGGTCAGCAGGTGAACCCAACCACAGGACCCAGCTGGGGCTGCCCGCTCTGCTCCCTCCTCCAGGCTGCTGCCCAGGTGGGGAGCCTCAGCCAAGTGCAAGAGCCTCACCTCGTTGTACATGGGGTCTCTCCGCAGAGACGGCTGATACTGCTCGCACAGCACTGTGAACACAGCCAGCTTGCCACTGCAGTAAGAATCAAGGATGACTCCCAGTGAGACCTGTGGCTGCACAGACATACACCAGCACCCAGCACCCGCCCAGATCACTCACCCGTCCACAGCCAGCAGCAGAAACCAGATGAAATTGAGCAGGGGTTGAACGAAGGGTGGCCCATCCTCAATGGATGGGTGCTTCTGTGTGTACGTTGTAAAGACCACCAGTGCACTGTTCTTGTTTTTCAAACAGAGAAACCTGCATGCAAGAATATCTAATGAGTGAAATCCCACAGGCAGACTCGGGTTTCCACAGATGCCCACAAGTGGCCAATACAACACCAAGACCTCGCCTGACAGTAGCACCCGTGCTATCTGGATGTCTGGTGTCTCCACAGGCCTAACGGGGTGCAGAACACTTGGGAGGCCAGGGTGAGTCCTGGTGGCTGCCTCTCACAGGGTACAAAACCTTCCACACACTGGTGAAGGGATTAAGTCTCAAAAGGAAAACAGCTTTGAAGGTCAACAGAGCTAGAAGATGGGGGCGAAATGGATACTCATTCCTCAACCATGGCCTCTGCTTTCTCTACATCTGCCTGCATCTGTCAGAGGAGCACATGGTGCAGGGGGCTGAGTAGGAAACTGACCCCGATGCTGTGCTGGGCTCTAGGCAGACTTAGCCTCTGCCCAGGATGTTACCCCAGTGGTCCCAAATCCATCAAGAAAAACATGGTCCCCAGTACTTGAGTGGGGAGACAACAGCTGCAGTGCACGCCCAGAGTCAGGCTGGCGAGCTGGAGATGTTACACAGTCCCTTTGTACAAACCACAACAACTGGCCATGGCGGTGTAGGTCTGTAGTTCCAGCACTCAGAAGGCTGGAGCAGGACAACTGCTCTAGGTCTGCGATCAGCCAGGGCTTTACAGTAAGAACAAACTTGTCTCAAAAGTAAATACAGTGCTCTGGGTCCCCACAGCAGACCCTCCTGCCACCATGTGCACAACACAGCACTTTTGTGGATGACCACAGGAGAGCACTGTTCCTTGGGAAGGGGAGGGTGAGGCCTGAAGAAGCAGACAGATGGCTCAGGAGGTAAGGCGCTTGTCATCAAGAGCGATGATGAGTTCAATCCTAGGACCAATATGGTGGAGGGAGAGGACTCCAGCGAGCTCCCTCTCACATTTCCACATGCACATCACAGCATGTGTGTCCCTGCAAATCCCTTCTCTGCACACACTAAGTCAATAAATAAATCTGTAATTTAAAATACCCCGTCTGAAAAACAAGTGCAGTGCCTTCCTGATTTGGGCAGGTGGGGACAAACTGCCCTATAAGCTGTGGCCATGCCTCAATCCTCCAGGGCAAACACAAGCTGCAGACTCCTAGGCAGGGTGATTGCAGAGTCCAACTGTGGACACTGTGTTATCTGAAAAGACAGCCTTGGGCCTAAGGTTCTCCCTCCAGCACTGCAGTCTAAGGACAAGGCAGCCTACTCAGGGCTATCTCTGCTCCAGGCTGGGAGCTGCACAAAGGCCCCACAAAGTCCCCATGAGCACTTACTGTAGCACAGCCTGGGCCACGAACATGTCCACTTCACTTCTGAAGCCTCGGGCGGTGGAGTACTCAACCAGCATGTTGGCGCAGCCCTCACCGTCAGTGGAGTGCAGGAAGTGATACCGAGACTCACAGTAGTTTTGTTCTGTGAAGGGAAAGAATCTGCAGATGGGCACGTGTGAGCACGGGGTGCACAGAGCCACCCACTCCTCCCCTCCTTCCCTGGTCCAACCCATTTGCCCTGGGCACACCTGCTGCCTTTTCTAGGCCACTAACCCTGGAACAAGCTATCCGTCTGCACAGCTGCTCACGCCTGCCGGTTACCAGCTTCCTTGTGCTCAGAGACTCAACACCAAACAGCTCAACGGGCACCCAGCTTCCCTTCTCCCTGTTCTAAGTGTGTGAAACTGCTAGGTCTGCCCAACCCTTGTGTGCATGTGAGCTGGGTCCACAGCAAGTTACTTCTTCTGTAACTACTACTAACTACTCAGAGGGCCCTGGCTAAGGGAGGCTCCTTGGCACATAGTGAAGCACATCAGTGTCTGCTATGTTAAACCCTAAGACCTAACAGCAGAGAATGCTGGGAATCCTGAGTAAGATCAAGGAGGAACCTGGGGATTCCTTCTGCTCATAGAGCCTTAACAACAGAAAGGAGGAAAGGAGCCTCTCAACACCAACAACTGGGGTCCCCCAGCCCATAACCCACCCACAAAGGCCTTTTCTGCCTAGGACTTTTGGGTGTCTGAGAGCAAGAGAGCAAGCAGTAATTAACGTAGACCCTCATTCCCAGCCTGCTCCTGTCTAGCAAACACCCGCGGGGCAGGGCACTCTGGGAAGTGAATAGTAGACTAGCCTGGGCAACTTAGTCTTGAAGCAAGTATTTGGGAGCCCCCAACCCCCTTCCCCAGGTAGCCATGATCCCTGGGATAGCTGTGGCCTGGGCTCAGTACCTCACCCATTCCCAGGGGACACAGCCCCTACAACCTCTCTCAGACGTTGCTGCTGAGTGGATCTGAGAATCCCTGCTGGCAGCTCCATTGTGCAGACTGTTTCCAGACCATGTATCAGGCATGTACTGTGTGAAGGCCTGGGCCACAGGTGACAGGCAGCTTGCTCTCAGCCGGAGGACAGAACAGCCCTCAGAAGAAGGCAGCACTCTGAGGCACACAGTAGGCACACATGGCACCTGCACTCCTGAGCTCTGGGAGGCTTTCTCTGAGTTTCCCTGAAGATCCTGATCTTTCAGTCTCCAGAGTCCTGACTGTCCTCTGGAGTGAAGGCAGAGTGCAGTGCCCAGGAGGGAGGGAGGAGGAGACACCATAAGCCCATAGGACGTATGGAAGTCTGTCCCAGCACAGTTGCTATGGGGGGGGGGTGCCTCTGGGTGGACAGCTGCTGGACTCTAAGAACTGGGTCAGGTACACCCTCTCTGATTGCCATGGCTGTAGCCAGAGGGGGCGCAGCAGCAAGTCTTGCTCACAGAACTAGTCTATACTCAACTTTGGATGACATACCTCTGGCTCAGACCTCTGCGATGCCTGATGCACAAAGGAGGGTGTGTGCCACAGGTCACTGTGTACTTCTAAATACGCCTCTTTTCACCCAAGCTCCATTAGGCCCAGCCCACTCATTAGGAGGGCTGTAGCAAGAATGCCACCCTCACAGGGTACAGCTCCACACTGTTTCCCAGGAATGCCACTGGGTAGGAGCTGTTCAGGTTCCAGCAGACATTCACCAAGCATGTGTCTTGTGCCCAAGCCAACTCAAGAGCCAAGACCAGGTACAACTGCAATCCACTCCATGGAAAATAATCTAACCAAAGCTCACCCCAAACTGAGATAAACATTAAGAGAACTACAGAGCAGGGAGTTACCAAAGGGATGGGATGTGGATGCTCACTGAGGAAGGAGGAGTGGGAGGTTGTGGGAAGGAGTGTGTGATGTGACTGACCAGGTTAGAGAATCAGGACAGAGATTGGAAAGGAAGCAGCACCACTCCCCAGGGGTCCCTTATGAGCTGTGGAGGGTCCATCCAGAGTCAGTCTACTACCAAAGCAGAAATACTGGACTAGCTGGTTCAAAGACAGGCTGATGTGCTTTCCCCATGGCCTCTCCCAGCTTATCAGCAGGCAAGTACACAGAGGATTCGGCTGCTGGCTGAAGGTAGGGATCCCATGCCTACCTTTCCAAAGCGTTAGGGCCAGCAGCTGGTGGAGCCGAGGATGGCCCAGCTTCCCAGACCCTCCACTGGACCACTTCAGGGCTCTGGACACAAAAGCTACTCGCTCAGGGGAGTTTGGATCCATCAAACTGAACACTTTAGCCAGATTTTCTGCAAATGACACAATCGGACCCTTACCAAAGGCACATGTGAGGTGTCCCACATCAACAAAAATCTAGCACTCTGTGAAGAGGCTAGCGAGTACTGTATTTTTAAGACTAGCCTGGGATACAAGAGTTAGACCCTGTCTCAGCCCTCCTCAACTACCCTCTCCCATTATATAACTTCAACAAAAGTCCAAAAGCCATTAGAGTGCTGCTGGGTGTCCCACATGCACTGTAGGTCTGGGGCCTCCTCTGGTTGGCTTGCCCACTGCCCTTCTGACTACGTTGATGTGGGTTGGCCATGCTTGGAAGCAGTTCTGTGGTAGCAGAGGACCAGCAGGAAGGCCACAGGGCAGTTTACAGGAAGGGCTCTAGCAGCCACATGCTGGCTCAGTGGGATTAGCTGCCAACAGGTCTGTAGTGTGTACACCATGGGCTCAGCTGGGCATGGTCAGTGTGATCACCCCATGACAAAATCAGTCCTGGAGTGCAGAGACCAACCCCCTCCCCCCACACCAAGTGGGACTAGAACCAGTGAAGAGACTCTGGAGAAGATCAGTCACAGAAGCCCGTGTTGACAGGCTACTGCACACTCAACACGCAGTGTGGAGTCCTCACCCAATAACTCATCAGCTACGTCCACCTCTGCCTTCTCCAGGGATTCAAGGACCAGCATGGACAAATCAGCCGCACTGTTCTGCTGCAGAACAATCAACATACAAGACCACAGTTAGCAACAGGGTCCCCTAGTCCTTTAGAAGAGTTGAGGTAAAGCAGAGGGCTGCAGGCTCTGCAGATGGCAACCTGCAAACACACAGCTAGGGATACTGCCTTGCCAATGAGCAATACAGCTGGGTCATTGGCAACTGGCAACCAGAACCAAGCCTAGAGCTCCAGTCACAAAGGTCCTACAGCAACGGGAGACTAGGACCCTATGCCATTGGTGGTCAGAGCCCAGGACAGTTTGATACACCCCACCCTCACCCCCAGGCCTTTCCCCATGGTGGCAGCACTTACCTGGCCATGACTAAAGAAGAGCAATGCTCCTGAGTACATGAGCTCCCGGGCCTCTGCATGTTTGCTTTGGGACATGTATCTGCAAAGAGGGAAGAAGAAAAACCCAGCCATGCACCATACAGATGCCTACAAGGGGTGCTTGCATTGTGTTCTATGTGCCAGCTAGCTCTGCCTGAGGTTGCTACAAATGCCAAGGTAAAACTTAACAGAATACTGCTTCTGAGTATGCTGGGTGCTGTAGTACCGCCCTGGCCAGCTACTCTGAACAGCAGATATAGGGAAGGGTCTGAGGATACAGGCCCTATTAGCAATACACCCACCTGAACATGCAGGGTACCCTCCACCCCAGGTCCAACAAATAACCCAGGGAGAAGCCAGAGCAGACTAAGATGTAACTTCCATGATGGGACAGGGAAGATGGGCACTGTCTACCTTAAAAGAGAAGGACTGATTTGCATGTAGAAGACAATTGAGGATAGATCCCTGAAGAGAACGACAATACAGCAACTCTACCAACTTCAGTCGTCACCCTCCACACAACCTGTGTACAGGCCCAGGTGTGGACGCCCTCATCCTTATACTCAGCAGGTGTGATGAGTGTCCCACCATCACCCAAGAACACAGCCAAGGCCACATGGACAAATCTAGAGTTTAAGATGACTATACAAAAGCATTAATAGTACAGGCAACACTCAAATCAAGTCTGGGGGTATGATGTGACATCACCAGAATGGATGTCTCTTAGGGGTGTATCCAACCTCCAGATACCCTCGGTGAGGCACAGGTACCCAAAAGCTGCAGTGACAGTAAAGCCAGCATATGAAAGGCAACACTGTTAAGATGGAAGTCACCTGTCACTGACCACCCTTGGGCCTTGTTAGCACCCTTGGGCCTTGTTAGCAGTGGCCCCATAGAGTTACCAGGCATTTTGGGGTCCCATCACTAGCCCGGCAGGTAACTTTACTGCTGTGTAGTAAATTCCTTCCAAATTGCAGTAATCCCTCCTGGAGGGAGCTCCTTAGCCCTAGAGAAGTAAACATACATGGCGTAGTCAGGCCCTGAAACTTAACAAACTTCACATAGCCTCTCCCTAAGGCTTTATGAACAGTAACAATTGGTGGGGAGAATGGACCCACCCACAAGCTGAAAGCTGTGCAGGGAACTCCAATGATGCAGCTATCTTTGAGTCATCCATTGTTCTGTAAGCCCTATGAGCTCAAAGGCTTAGTAAGCCGGCTGTGGGTTCAATCATTTCTTTGGTCTGCTGGCAGTGAATAGATATTTGTTCACGTCTCTGCAGGAAGGGTCACACCACACAACTGGTGACCTGTGTAAGAATGGACTATCTATGAGGCAATCCATTGTTTTCCTTTCTCCGTGTGGGATGGAATGGAGTACTCCTTCTTGGAGTGGTGGGTGTATGCTCCAGGCCACGGGTGACAAGACATGCAACCAAGGCCAAGCTCTCTGAAAGGAGAGCATTCCTAGGCAGAATCAACAGGTGGCCATCTTCTTGTACTTGGTATTGGATGTCATGGGCATGTTACCCAAGCCACTGATGGACTAGAGACTTTACCTCAGTCCTTGAATGTAGCACATAAGGTAACAAGTTGCACTATCAGGCACATAGCCTTTGCTGTGGGAAAAGACACATGATGTTTCCCATCACATTATCCCCTGGCAGGAAAAGTAGAGAAAGGTTAGGATGAGAGTGAGACCCAAAAACTTGACTGAAAAGAAACTAAGATTGGGGAGGAAGAGAACATGGTAGAAATTACAGAAGAGACCTCACAAGTCCAACCTTTAAAAGGGAAAAGTTCATGATTCAACAAGCAGACAAGCCAAGATGTAGGGCCCATGGGTCTACCCCTGCTCCCGGGGTTCATCTTGAGGACAGTTTCTGGTCAGCCAGCTACAACATTCTGTTTGTTCCTGTGCTCCCTCTGCCTGGCCTGGTGATTAGCTGTAGGGCATTGTTTACTCCATCTTGGGTGTGGCAATTTCCTGGGAATTCCTTGTGCTGCAGCTAGGTATTTAAGGATTTTCCCCCCAAGGTTGAATCTCCTTTCGAATGACCCAGGTCATTCAATCTCCAGGACCTTGCCAGGCTCACGTCTGGTACAGTGGCGCGTGAACTGTACCGAGAGGGTAACGCAGAATCAGGTGATACACCAAGAAACTACAAGGGAGCACTTGGCATCTGAACTGTTTGATGGGGAAAGACTTAAAAACACATAGTCAAAGGGCCTGTCACATCCACTGCTGCAGAACACAGCGAGCAATGGGATCAATCTGAATGAACTGCAAGCATAGAAAATAGGTAAAATAATTATGTGCCTCTCCTTGAGACAAAGATCGCACAAACTTAGGTGACAGGAGAGAAATCAGCCCTGGTGAACTGGCTTCTAAAGCTTCGAGGGCTGCCTGGTTATTGCTGGCTGAGGTCCCCGTGAATATCAGGGAATGAAAGAGAGCAGAGGAAAAACAGGCATCACTAATGACACTGCACACGAGAGAAATACTGCCCAATGCTCAGTTCACTAAGTCAGAAGTTCACAGAAGAATCAAGACCAAGGTTGACTGAGCAGGGACCATGGACTGGGATGGGCTTTGCTAGCCCCATGGTGAGATGTGATCTTCATGACGTAGGAGAAGCTCTAGCAGATCTGAAAGACTGACATGTAAACCAGATTCAGAAAACAGCAAAGGGGAGAGCAGCGATGATAGAAAAAGAAAGGAAGAAAGAAAAGGGTGTGCCTAGGCCACTCACTGGCAAATGTGGCAAGATCTGTTAAATTGGGATTGCTGAAAAAGAAAAAACAAACAAAAACATTAACAGAGTCAAGTGCTGTGCTCATGAGCTTCTCAGAGGCTTTAAAACCTGAGCAACAATCCACAAACATCATTGCAAAAACAGTACAGTAACAGGGTGGGCAGTTACTGCCCCAGCACACAGCACACTGGGATAAAGACTGCTCAGACTGGGGCTCCTTTCAGCAGTAGTGGTCTGGAAGTAACTTAGGGTGCCTGTCAGAACTGAGGAACCAGGTCCAGAGGTAAGCCAGGAGTTCCTACCTCTCTTGGGCCTGAACCAAGGCAAGCAGTAAGCCTGCCCAGCAGAAACCAGGAACAAAGACGCATAGCAGTCCTGGGGCAGCAACAACCCAGGGTGACATTAATGGTTCATGGAAAAATGCCTGTGGCTTCTGGAAGCCAGATAGGGTGCTGTCCCCCAACCATGGTACTGGACTATTGATTGTCTCCAACATTTCTCTTGTGACACAACAACTTCCCTGCTGGTTCAGGCTTGCTACTAACTCTTTTTAGGATCCTCGTAGCTGCTCAAGACCAAGGACACTTACTTGGAACGGGTAACTGTGAACCTCCAGAATGCTAACCCTCTAAGTATCTCGCGGATGTGTAAAAGCATGTAGAATAGGAGATAGAGAGATTAAGGAGCTTAAACAAAGACGGCCTGACTGGATGAGAAAGGCACTCTCAGAAACAGTACGGGTGTTGGGTGAAAACTGCACTGCCAGGTGTGAACTGCCTCTGTTAAATTGTTGGCCAGGGAGACCCCACAAACAATAAAGGTTACATGTTAGAACCTACTGTTAAAGATACCACATGCTTTGGCTGCAGGACATGTAAGTTCCCTCCCCACTCACAGACTTTTGTAGTGCCAGCAGGCACTGAGGCTGGTAGGGGATAACTGTTACTGACTATCTGAAAGGTTATGGACCCTTCAGACTACGGTACCAACATGCCAGGGAAGATGGGCAAAAGTCCATAGCCAACAAGGCCACAGGTCCCGAGGGAAGACTAACTGCTATTGCTTTGTTAAGTGGGTAGACTGTGCAGGTCAAATTAAACATTTGTATTTTCCTCACCGATTACTGCAGCTGCCCCTCAACTGGTCACGGAGGGAAGTTTCTTTTTTGCAGTGGGGGTGTAGTTTAGAGCCTCATAACAGATCAAGTTTCTCAGACGGACTGTTGTGGCACAGCGGCACAACATTCAAGCACAAATGAAGGAAAATCACCCCAAGCCTCAGCAAGCACTGCTGAAGAGGGGGATCAGAAAGACTCTTACTCAGGAAGTAAAGAAGCATCACAAGTCTCAAAAATCTGCAATTTCCAAGATGCACAAGGCGGCAGAAACAGTAACAACCACTAGATAAATAAGATATATTCATCAGCTAAGCGGCCTGCAGATCCAGCTAGAAATCCAGGGATACACTCACTGCCCATACTGGGGTGGTCTTTCCAATGCTGCTGCTGCCTTTGGGTCATCCCTGTTCCTTAGTATCCCCTCATTCACACTCTTGTAACCCTAATAAACTCACTAGTTCACTAATCTAGACTTGAAAAAATGTCTGTTGGTGCCCTACTGAGTGAAGAGATGCTTGTTCAAATGCTGTGCTCATAGACAAACAATCTCATGTTGCTATCAGCATCAACAGAGACTACACAGGTACTGTTTTTCATGAGTCACTGGTTTAGGGTGGCTTATGCAGGACACCAGACTCCTGAGTCCTTCTGTCTAAGGCTTATCAAGAGAAACACTCACTGAGACCAAAGGAAGTGTCCTTCAATAACACACCAAATTCCTGAGATCTGAATCTCCCACTGACCATGTCCTACCTTACTGGAATTACCTGCTGCCAAGTCAAGGGAAGATTATAAAGATAAAAGTCCCAGGCAACAATTAAAACAAATTTCTCATCACAAAATTCCTGGAGTGGGGTGGGGGTGTGTGTTGGGTGTTCCTCCTGGGTGACTATGCAGACTGGGTGCCCCAAGGCCATGGGACAGATGAGGGTAGTCAGCTTTCCTTGGCACTCAGCTTCAGGCACATGGCAGGCCCTGTGTGACACTCAAAATCACCCTCTACATACAGAGGTAGCTTTGCGCAGCAGGGAACAAGCTCTGCCGGCCCCAAGGAGACTCACAGAAACCATCTAACCCACAAAAGAAGGTCTGTGCCAGGACTCCAGCTGATTCTGCTCTTACAGGCTGGGCACACTGAGTTACGAGTCACCCCAGCATGGGGTGTATGTGTGTCTGTGTCTAAGGACAG